GCAAACAAAAGGAAGAGTGACATCTCTACATTCTCCTTCCGTTTGCTGCTGTCGGTGATACTTTCTGCAACCCAGCATCCTTTATCTTTGTCGCTTGCAAGTATCCTTCCTAACACATCATCATGTCTTCTCCTAACTCAAGAAGGAAGACACCCCCTTTTTTTAACTAAAAGGCTTATATTAAAAATAAAAAAGATTACATACAAAAAAATTATCTTTCAGGAACACTCTCATCGTCCACCATCTTATGGGATAAAAGTGAGGGATAATCAAAGGTATAAAAACTAATATCAAACTTATGAGCAATCTTAATAAAATAATCAGCATAAGTATTGAAGTCTCTACAAATATGATAGATAAATAGACTTCAATTCCTGTGAAACAAAAAATGAACATGTTTAATTACATTTTAAAAGGGCGTGATTCCGCATAGCCTTTGGCAATTGGGCTAATAGCATTAGTGCAATCACAGAAAATATCAACATCACGCAAACCAATATCCTAACAAATAAGCAAAAAATGAATGATAGCAAGCAGTTACACAGTGACAAGTAGAACAATAATAAGTTTGCAGTTGAATTCTTTGACCCAATTACTTTAAGGGTCCTAGATGCTTCCACCACATCCATTACTACCATTCGACAGCACCGACCTATCTACTTCGAGTCTGGCAACAACACTTCTACCTATAGCTCTACCTTTGGTGCACTGCCTCTTGTAAATCAACAAAGGTATGAGCTTATATAGATCTAGATCCGTACAAGTTCTAAAGATACTAGAGCTCACAGATTGGTATTCAATTACATTTGTTATATTAAACACTTTTTTACATCTATCAGCTTGAAGATTCCAACAAATGTAACCAAAGAGGGATGCCTAGTCTACTTTCTTAATAAAAGTTGCACCCGCTTCATGATTAAGATTTTATTTTAGCCAATCCCACCCCATTCAAGATAATAAAGGTGTTATAGTTCTCTTCTTTGACCATTACCTTCCATCTATACAAGGCATTCAAATAGTCCCGAATAAGATGCATTAAATCTTCAATAGCCTCACACCCAAAAGGGCAATTCCCTTTGGTTACAATATGTAATATTCAAAAACTTTAAATTTAGAAAAATTGACTAATTAAGGGATAAATTAGTTAAAAAATATAATTAATTTATTTAATTATGTTTTTGGGTTGCTAATTTGCTTTTTGGGTCATATTTGACTCTAAATTGAGTTAGGATAGAAGTTAGATCAAGTTACGAGGCATCGGGGAAATAAAACTGACATTTTGCTCGTCGTGTTGTAAGCCATGGCTTGTGTGGCGTGCGCTAGGGCGCACGACACAACGGGCAACTTAAATTTTTGAAAATCATTAGAAAATGACAGTTTTTATGGTGAGAAACCTATAACATGAAGGGGTGAGCTTTGGGCACTGCTAAGGCATCATTTTGGGAGGATTTTGAAGATAAATTGAGCCTTTAAACTCTTGAGTAAGTTTCCTACCCTTCTCCTCTACCTTTTCATCTCATTTTTCATAGGATTTGAAAGTGGGAGAATTTGCTTTGAATGGATTAAGTCATGAATCTATGTTTTGAAAGTTCTATTAACTCTAAAGGTTTGATTTAAGTCTATTAATCTTGAATATGTGGTAATATGAAGCTACTTTATTGTTTTGGTGAAAGTTGGATCAAGCTCTAACTTGAGCATGCGGTTTTGAAGTGTGATTAGTTGAGATATTAAGTGTTATGTTGTAATAGAGTTAGGGGGAGGCTTGAAGGGATTACGTGAACAAATTGTAATCTTAACAAGCCTCTTTGTTGAGAATATGAGTAAGAAATGGGAGAATCGGGAGGTTATTAGTAGCTAATAGTACTTGTGTTAATTGAGAATTAAGATATAGTACTTGTTGATGTAGATTATAGTGTGGGGAGATTTGCCTTAATACAATAAGAGATTTAATACTATGAGTAACCCTTTTAGTAACAAAAAGGTTGAGGTAACTAGATAATTTACATTATTTATTACCTTGTATAAGTTATTCTTAAGTTGTTCTTGCATGATTTATTATGTATATATGTATGAATTTGTAAAAGTTAACTATTTTAGAAAATGAGTGGAGTATTGATTTGTAAAATGTCAAGTTTTTAAAGTAAGTAATAATATTCATTATATTAGTTTAGAAAGTGTTTTATGCATGGTCAAGTGGAGATATATAGTGAAATGTGGCATATTAGAGGGTGAGAGATCACCTTGGTAGAGTTAGTGAAAATTAAGTCCATATAACATTACTGGCACCTCGGGACACTAGGTGCAGTACTTACTCTCCTCAGTGCTCGAAAATGAGTGTGGTGTTAGAGACTTATTCTCTTTAGTACCTAAAAGAGTGTAGAGTTAGAGAACATATTCCTTAGCATTCATAGGATGCGGCGTAATTAGGGGAACTAGTAGTTCAAAAGTAGTTTAGGACACCTTGACCGGATAGTCCCACTATGGATGGTGAGCTTGGGGATCGTACATGTGGTTTGGTTCTGTAAAATAACATATCGATTCAGTTGAGAGTATTGGAAGATCGGATAGTTAGGGATCATGCATGTAACTTGTGGTGATTTTATATGGTGTAGTTATTTTATTCATTTTAATGCTTGTTTATAACTTGACATGTTAGTCAATAATGTAGATTATCTTAGTTATTAAAATTTTTATCTCCCCCTGTGGTTATCATTTTATAGGTTCTACCGTTGAGACTGAGCAAGAGAAAGAATTAGGCAAGGATTAGCAAATTTGCTACATCACGAATAGTAATGCCTAATTTTAATTTGAGTGGTGTACATAAACTTGTTATATGATATTATATATTGTCAATTAGAAATGTATATCATTTTGATTGGTTGCACTTGCTTCATACTATGTTATTATGTATTTTAACCCAATATTGTATATAATGTGAATATGTGACAATTTTTGTGGTGATGGGCTAAAATATTAATACAAGTGCAGGAAATATTTTATCTATATGGTGATAATGTATATGTAGTGTATTATATGACAATAAAGGTCAAATAGTGTATATGGTGTTGATTTTGTATTTTGGCCATATTAGATGAAATGGGCATTAAGTGGCTAAATATTGTGTTTGGTATGTTTTTGTATGTTTGAGTGTTCAATCAAGTGTATTTTAGTCCATTGGACTTGGTTCAAGTCTCGAAATGGGTTAATAGTATGAGTTTTGAGTTTTGGGTATTTTGATGTTTGAAAATCGCTTTAAAAACTGACTTTTACATCTGAATGTCTAAAATTCTCATACGGTGTCAGATCATACTGAAACTTATATTATTAGTTAGCTTATTTAATAAGCTTCATGTGGGCTCTTGAATCAATCAAATCGAACATCGGATGCAAAAATGACGCACATTCAAAATTCATCTAGAAAAGTTGTCATGACAGCATTGCTATCATGGACACGTGCATCGCGGCGCACGATATAGGTAGCAAACTTGCCTTTCCGTGCCACATGCCGCTGCGCATGGACCACAAGACGTGGCGCATGAACCAAAATACTCAAAAATAACATTTTTTGACCCTGTTTTGAAGTATTTTGCTTCATAAAACTTTTATATACTTTCAATACCTTTATAAATCATTAAGTTTGAGCTCAAATTATAAATTTGAAGGGTTTTTATGGGATCCTAAATTTTAAAAAATTAATTTTAAAAAATTATTAGTTTTAACTCTTATATAGATAATGTGAGTTACGTTTGTTTGTTGTGATTGTGTGATGAATTTTGGTAATGTCAAAGTGGACATTACACAATACCTCTCCTCTGCCTCAATTCGTAATGTGGATTCTTCCATGAGCAAACAACCACATAAAAGGACTTGATTTTCTCCATTATTAGCCATCTTCAAATCATTTTCGATATACTATCTGTATTCCTTCTTATACCTACAAATGGAAAAAAATAAGTAGATTTAAAAGCAAAACAATTATTGATATATAGTTTTAAAAAGTTTTTATTCTCTTTTCTCTCCTCACTGGGCGGGCAAGCATGGTCAAGTAAGTTGCTATATTTGGTTGGAACCATGAGTGAAACTTTTAGATATCATAATTACTACCATGATCTATATAATTTGAAACTTTCTCATCTTTATCCACAAGACCTTCCCACTCATTAACCAATTCAATAAGGAGAACATTCATATGACCAATTGTCAAACTAAAAGCTTATAGAGTTGCCGTTTTCAACTTCTTTCTCCATTTGTTTGTCCAAAAGTTTCACAAAAGTGATCAAGGCAGAGAAGAGTTGCATCTACTTGAGCCATTGAATAAGTGAGAAATTTCAAGACCTCCCAGAGTAAGCTGAATAGGATTCCAAAGTTGATCTTCAATTTGAGGATCTTTTTCACAAAAGGAAGATAATTTGCCCAATACATTAGTTACACCCCAGGTTTAGCAATAACTCAACGTGTTTGGAATATATCATCCAGGAGTTGCCTTAAATTTTTGTTCACTCGCCTCAGTTTTTTGTCACCGTGGCATGCAACAATCTCACCTCAATTCACCTTCTCAAGCTCTCACACAAGTTGTACAGCGTCCGAAACTTTTTAAAATCCCTAATTCAAAATTAGAATGGAAAATTAAGAATTAGAAGATAAAATTAATTACACATCGATAAAGAGGACATCAAGTTTTCAGTTATGCGTAGTAATTTATCCATGTGTATATTCCACACACGCAGTCTAACTTTTACATGTTAGTTTTTCCTTACGGCTAATTTATTTCATAAAACTTTAAAAACTAATATGATCACCGAAAAAAATATTAATGATTGAAATAATAAAAATTAAATTTAAAGAATTAAATTGATAATTTTTATGAAGGATTAAAATTTGTATTATGTTAAAAAAAAAAATCATATATTGTCCGGCCTCTTGGTCTTGCCGCAAAAAACTAAAAAGTTGTCGGGACTCATGGTCGCGTTGTGGCGTAGGATAAAAGGCGGCCAGACGTGGGGTAGGACATTTTTGGAGCAAAAGGCGTCGGGTAGGGCTTGGGAGGTGTTTGAAGCAAGTTGAGGCCCATATCGCGTACTGTGAAGGTTGAACCCTAGCGAGTGCCTAACCCTTGCTGCCTCTGCTTGGTCCTCTTCGGGAACGTTATCTTCCGCCGGAGTTCGCTACGGGGAGGAACGTGTTCGGTTCGTTGGCCAACTACTCAATCTTTCATCTTTGGTATAGCTTTCTTCTAGTTATTTCACTTCGTCCGTAATCTTGCGTCTTTGTCTGATTTTTTATGACCCATTGTCGCCTTAGGGTTAAGGGAATTGGCAGTTTCGAATTGTTATTCTCCTTTATAATTATTAACGTGGAATTTGTGTCCGAAAGATTGGTTATTGTTGGCAGTTGCTGAAGGCTGTGACTTTCATGTGGTAGTTCGTAGGCCTTAAAACTCGTTGTCAGTTCTTCGTTGCCTGCACCATATTTGAAGTGTGTTTTTGTTCAATAAAGAAAAAAGGCGACGGGTATATGGTCGCTTGTCCGAGCAACCTCCAAATAATCTGCTATATATTTGCATTTCTTCGAATTCGTAGAGGTTGAGCAATCTGGTTGCCTGTCATCTACAGAAATCTATGTTTTTGATATGGCTAAATCAAATGACATTCCTTTGTAATTTGTGGCTTTTGCGGAGCTGCAACAGATAATCAAAATCGGAATCTCCATGTAGATTTGGCTAATTGTTGACCTTAATAGCATGTGATGTGTTATATAAATGTATCAGTTAGGGACGCTAGAGAAAGAAATGCAGTCTTACTACTTCCCCGGACAATTCTGTTGCATTAACAAAGTCTAATCAAAGTAGGGGTTGTATTACCTTTTTCCGTGGGTTAATTTTTAAATGTTGTTAAAAGAGAGCTGAGTAAGGTAATTGCTTCAGTATATGTCAATATTACCTTATCCCATGACACCAATGCTTTGTTTATGTTAGATGACAAGCGCTTGGACCAATATGAGCTTTGCAATCAAACATAGGGATATAGAGAGGGAGTGGGAGATTCAGGGTGGAGTTTTGGTTATTTTTTTAAAAAATTGGAGATTCTTGCTCACTCTCAGAAGATCTATACCTGCTAATATTCTGGAAAGGATGGGGAGATCAAATTTTATTTCAATATTGTTATAGCTTTGGAGCATCTTTGGAGCAAATGAGCAATGGAGCTTGTGGAGCACGGCTCACCTCGAGGATTGCTCTCTTGGTTTGCTTCATAGTTTTGGATTCCTTTACATTTGTGTAATCATTAGAGTAATGATCATAATAAGTAGGCATTTCATTATCAGGCATGACTAAAGAAAGTGAGTTATATTCCCTTTGTTTATGAGTTTCCGATTCTTGCTTGTAGAGGAATTGGAGAAATTATTTTATCAGATATGAGTGGTCGCTTTTCTCGCACCATCTATGTTGGCAACCTGCCCTCAGATATAAGAGAGTCAGAAATTGAGGATCTATTCTACAAGGTTTGATGTGTATTTTCCTTGTATATAATTTGAGAGCATGTTCATTATATTCCTTTTATTTTATTTCTTCTCCAACTTGCTCATCAATTGGAAGTTGGAACGTATCTTAATGCTACTATAACTTGTGACTTGTTGATTTCTCTAGTAATTTCATGTAATTTTTTTCTTTCTTGCTCAGTGTTGTTTTAATTGAATGGGGTTGGGATTAATTTGCTTTGTGTAAATTGAGAATAAATTTATTTCCCTTTGATGGATCTGCAACCATTCTTGTTATTGTTATTATGTATAAATGTTTGTATGATAGCTGCACTAAAGTAGTTTTGTCAACATTGTATTCTTTCTACAGTATGGCCGTATATTGGATATTGAGTTGAAGATTCCACCTCGACCTCCATGTTATTGTTTTGTTGAGGTATCTGCCTTCCCTTGGCTCTTTTACTTTATTAACGGAATGTATATTTTAATCTTCATTTTCTTATCATCTTGTTGCTGGGTTGCTAGTTTGACAATGCTCGAGATGCAGAAGATGCAATTCGTGGTCGTGATGGCTACAATTTTGATGGTTGTCGGTTAAGGGTATTGAGCTGTTCCTATGCTTTCTCTTCCAGGTCAGTACTTTGCCTTGATGTGTTTCTCATCTATTTGTGTTCTAGGTGGAGCTTGCGCATGGTGGTAGGGGGCCATCATCAAGTGATCGGCGTGGTCATGGTGGCAGTGGTGGGAGCCGTTTTGGCATCTCACGTCATTCTGAATATCGAGGTGTGCCATGCTAATTTGTTATATACTTGTCATGCAATTTTCAAAAAAGAGCTGTCATTTGGGAGTTGCTGAAATAATATACCCCTTAATGCTTAACATTTTGAAATTATTGTCTCTGCATGTCATTTAGTATTTCAGTTTCAAAGAAATTGTTTGGCATGCATTTTCTTTGCCTTTTAATTTCATGTCTAACAGCAATTATACCTGTTTTTATATAAAACACTAAGTGGTGTAATGGTTGAAGGTCCTTCTTTGGAGTAAAAGTTTTCTGTTTTTTGTTTGATCACAGTTATTGTTCGTGGACTCCCATCATCTGCATCTTGGCAGGATTTAAAGGTATTTGCATTCTCAAACTTATCACTTGTCTTTTGGCAAGCAAACTCATCTGAAGTTAAAATTCAAATTTCTATCACCTTATTACCTATTTGTTGAACACCATTTTTCAGGATCATATGCGGAAAGCTGGTGATGTATGTTTTGCTGAGGTTTCACGTGATAGTGAAGGTACAACTTCATAGTAATTTGTGTTTGTACGATGTCATTCTCCACATTCCTTTTCCTTTCCTTGTTTGTCTCTTATTCTTGGCAGTCCCTGTTAGTTTGTTGGCAAAAGTGATTAGTATACTGGCTGGAGTAAATTTGTATGTGTGCTAATTCATTCTGCGACTATCTGGTCATTATAAAATGGTAGTTCATGAAACTTAAGATGCTGTTCAATGCTTTTTTAACAGCACAGTACAAAGTCCCTTCTTATGTCTCTGAATCTTAACAAAATGCCTGAATAGAAATCTAACTTTTTATGGTATGGCTTGTTTTTATATTGAGTTGTCATTGGTTTTTTTTTTTAGTTCTCTGTGTCATTCAAGTTCGTTATGATTCAATTCTATAATATGTGCTGTATATCTGACACTCTTAATGTTGTTTTTCTTGTAGGTACATTTGGCATTGTTGACTACACTAATTATGACGACATGAAATATGCTGTAAGTGAATGTATAATTAAATAGTATTTGGTTCAGTGCTGCCCTGAGTGCTGTTATTTGTCTTCCTAACCCTCTGCTTCACAGATTCGTAAACTTGATGACACTGAATTTAGAAATCCTTGGGCAAGAGCTTTTATTCGGGTAACATTTCTACTTATATATGAATGATTTCTCATTTGTTTATGGTGCTTGTGCATCCAAATTATCATGTAGCTTGTGTGATGTTTTCATTCATAGCTAGAATGAAGTTAAAACTTTTAACAGAAGCAATTGTCTTTTTTATGCAGGTGAAGAAATATGAGGCCAGTCCCGCAAGGAGCCGCAGTAGAAGCCGGAGCAGAAGCCCTGGAAGAAGCAGAAGTCCTAAAAGGATTAGAAGGTAAAGTTATCACATTTTGTTGTTCCTCACTATTGTGATACAGATGTTGATTGTCTTATTGTAATTTTTTCCTTTTTATCCTGCAGCAGGTCATTGGAGCGATCTGTTTCTAGGTCACCATCTAGGTCTAGATCAGCATCACCAATCAAATCTAGGTACAGTATACAATGCATACAAGTTATGGTTGTTACGTGTGGCGCCTTGTAAATCAAACTTTATGATGTGGTTGATCTATTCTTCTAATTATTTAGGCCTAGGTCACTGTCACGGTCTCGGTCTCGATCACAATCTGGATCACCACGCCAGGTATTTGAATATTTGTAGAATAGAGCGCACATGTTTATAATCTTTTATTCAAGTATGGAATGTGATGCAACTGTGGGGCTCATGTAAAAGATAAATCTGAATATGTGAATTTTGGCTTTCATAAGAGGATAGATCAGAGATGAAGCCTGCTATTTTCTAGGCCTCCTTTTCTGTTCTGAACTAATAGCTCACTGTTAGAGGGAATTCAAGACGATTGAATATGTTGGCCATGAATGTTAGTTGTTCATTGACGCTTTAGTTATTGCTTTTGCATGTATTTCATTATTTCAAACGTTTTTCTTATGAAGGGAGCATGTGACTTTTTGCAGGCTCGGTCAGCCAGTGGTTGATTAACTCACCGATGCAGCAGGATCATATCTAGTGCTAGTTATTTTGTTGCAATGCGGACCGAGGTTTAGATGATGCAGTTGGATTAAGTTGTTTTGTTGGAAATTAACGATGCACTCGAGTTTAGTCCCTTAAAAAAAAAGCACTGGAATTGTGTTGTGGTCAATTGTCATAGATCAGTTTGGCTGTTTGATGAGCATACAATCATTCTAGAGATTTATGTTTGCCTTATTTGAGACAATTGATGTACTAGTGTGGCTGTCAGATTCATGTTTACCTTGTTGGAGGGGTTATTTATGAACGATTGGCCTTCCCCCTTTCTGTTGTTGGAGGAAATTACTGTGAAATCTGAACGCACGGATATCTTCGGAAACGCTGAAAAGTAAGATTGACACCGTAATTGTTGAATAAAGAAAAATGAAACTGCGGCCAAGTATCAGTCTATCAATCCACTGGGGCCCTGCAAAGACGATCAGGTCACATATTCATAACCTTGAAAGCTTTTATGTAGCCTGCCCTTGAAATATAGTGCGGTGCTCTGCTCTTTGGGTTAGATTGTTCTGCTCCTCCTTCTCCCACCCCCTTTTTCTTCCCCCCTCAGATGAAGGATGTGTTGAATCTGGAGAGATGTTAATGTATGCACCAAAACTCAGGAAACATGTTTGTGGGGTCTATAGGATCTAGGCGGCTTGATGACTACTGTGGAGTGCGGAAATTTAACTGGTGAGAGTGATGCTGAGGGACGTATTAACTGGAGCTGATGAGCGGCTTTATGACTGCGGTGGATGGTAGCATGGCCCCCAACCATTTTGGGTGACTGAGATCGTGAGACCCAGCCACGGTCGCCTTTATTTGCGTTGTTTTACAGAATTTGTTCCCCCGCCCACCCACAACAGAAAGTGAAATGATTCATGGATGGCTCTTGCTTCTTATTTTATCAGAGGGGGCTTTTCTCCGCTAATCAAGAGAATACCGCAAATCTGAACCGTCCTATTTGATTTGATTATTTATATTTTATAATTTTTAGAAGTGCGACTTACTAATCTATATCATCGAAATCTTATCCAAATAGTTTAGACTCATGGTGGAGGCCTTGTAGGGTAGAAATCAAATCCTATTTTAACAACGCTTCCATGGCCATTTGCCTTCCAAATTTACATCTTCATCCTCCAATATTTAAAATAAAAATGAAGAGGCACATATTTTGACCTAAACACCTAGAGCAGTGCATGAGGAGAATCATGAGGTCAAATCAAATCTGGAACCAAAATTATCCCAACACTGCCTTGTCTGTTGTGTGCCTTTTAATTTCACGACAAGGGTCTAAATTGATGTCAGGTGAACAATGCATGCTTAAACCCATAAGGGAAAAAAGAAAAAAGTTGCCTGGAGTGCGTTGTACAGTTTGTAATATTTTGTCTTTTGTCTCGATTTTTTTATTATTCTTTATTCCATGTATGTCCATTCTAGTAAAATATGCAATTCTATTGCCTTGGAGATTATTAATTAATAAAATGAGGACACAGAGTTTGGTCAAAATACAAAGCAGACACGTTGGAGCGGATACAGATTCTTTCCACTTCCATTTCTATTTTCTTGCCACTACCTATATCAATTATGAATTTACATTTGAACTGCTAACTCTCTCTCTCTCTCTCTCTCTCTCTCTCTCTCTCTCGAGCGCGCGCGCGCGCGCGGGGGGTAAGAAGGTCTCATGCCTCGAAATCTCCGAGGGGTTTAGAAAAGGAGGAGAAATCCCTCCCCTTAACTTATTTGGTTAAATGAAAGTGAGGGGATTTGGAGAGATAATTAAAATATGTCCTATTTTCTCAACCTAAAAAAATGATGAAACATTAATTTTTTTCGTAATAAAATTATAACCCCCACACCTCTTAACAATACGAGTTTTGGGTCTGTACCATTTAAACCTATTGAATTGGTAATAATGGTTGTGTATTTATTCCAATACTTTGAATCCTCGACAAGCAGTCTATTTATTTATAATTATAATTTGTAAAGGTAAATGCATGATATATTTTGGATAGCAATTAGCAGGTGTTGGGGTCCACCACCGGAGGTCATGGCTGAGACATCACCAAGCAGCACCTAAAATCAGGTCGGTGGGCCCGTTTTATTATTTGGGCTTGTGCCCTCTCTGCTGTATCTCCTACATTAGAGTAGGAGATACAGCACCGGTGATTTCATTTGTTAGGGAAATGGGTTTGTGCGAGGTTGGTTTAATTATGGAAAGAGACAGAGACAACCATAAGAGGCCGTGTCCACAACAAGCCTCAGACGACTCGCAGAGCCCAACAAAAGCAGAGTTCGAGGACCACGTTGTACCTTAGCTCATCCCTTTCTCTAGCTTGGCTTAGGAGTTGGCTTTCCTCTCATGGGAAAACCCATTCTTCTCACTTTTGCTGAGGAAATGTGAAATCTGAATCGGCTCAATTTAATGTTTTTTTAAATTTTTCTAAAATAACAAATTATAGAAATTGTAAAAAATAATAATAAATCTGTTCACCCATTTAGTATTATATAACCTAACTAATTGGGGCTTGTTTTGAAAGATTATGTTTCAACGGAATTAATTGGTGGGGTGGAAAGAAGCATGATTTGATTTGAGATGATGGTTGGTATACAGTAAAAACAGAGGTCGATTACTAAATTAAAAAAAAAGTATAGAATCGATGTAAAAATAGTAAAATTCTAAAATACGTCCCCTCCTTCTCCTAGTAGATGAATTATGGGACATTATACGCTTTATGTTTGTTTTGTAGGTTAAATTAAAAAGATATATTTACATTGCTAGCGATATTTCATAGTCCTTAGACCATGCAGTTTATATTACGGGTTGAGATATGAGAGAACATTAATTTTGTTTTTGGCTTGAGGGAATACAAAATAATATAGGAAAATTCATGGTGTCATGTTGGTACTTGGTAGGTAGAGCAAGTGTGTGTTTATTTTTCAATTTACATCTAATAAAAGCACATTTAAAAATGCAACTATTTATTAAATTTAGTAAAAGCATATTTTAAAAACGGTTTAAATGTGTTTTTGAAAGTTACTCACGCAGAGGCCCCGAATCATTAACCAGCGTATCATTTTTCTGCGAACAAAAACTTAAATTGGGAACTGCTGCAGGAAGATCTTCAAACTATTAATGTGATTATTAATTTTTTGTGATTTTGTTGCCAATTTCTCCTACCAATGGCCTTTCCTTTTTCAGGAAATTGCTTCTAAAAGTTTATATTTCGCAAATTTTAATATAAAAACATTTTTAACAAAGAAATGACCAAAGTTATGGTTGAATTTTGAGAAAGTTTATCAAAATTTAACAAAGCTCTTGTTAGATTTGATAATATTTTTAAATTTTAAATATTTAAGTCCTTAGATGTGATATTGATCCCTTTATCAACGCGTTGGGGAGGCAGGGCGCATGATCGGTATTTAAATTACTGCCCCCTCGTGCAAAGCTTGTTAATAAAAAACAATGACCTGCCAATAAAGTGTCTACGATTTTCTATTAAATACTTCTTCCTCTCTAATCCTATTTATATAGTAAAGAGATGAGAATTTTTGTTTTATTTATAAGTTATATTTTTAATTTTTTTTGTTTATAATCAAAGGAACAACAAAAGACAAAGGATTACATTTTTAAATTTTTATCACACAATTTCCCCGGGAATAAAGTTAAAAACTTATGAGTAATACAAAAAATTTAAAACTTATTCAATTTTTAAATAAAATTAATGAATTTTAAAATCTCCTTTGACTGATAAAATATATTAGAAATAACTTAAAATAAAAAAATAATTATAATAATTATAATTATAATGACTTGTGATATTGAAATTTGGACCAACCCTCTTAGTTGAACCAGTAAATCATTAAATTAGTACATTGATAGATTTAATTATGATTAATTTAATTTAATTATGATTTAACTACTATTTTAACTATTAACTCTTCAATCTGTGCTTTTAATAACAAATCCAGTTTTTAATATCATAATAATGACTACATCTAAATTCAATGGTGACAGTATTTTTCTTTTTGGACAAATGGTGACGGTATTGGAAAGCCATCCTCAATTATATTCTTTATTAATAGTAATGGTCATGACTGTCTCCATCAACTGGCCATTTCACGTTTTAAAAACAGCATACTCCCTCCATTTAAAAATTTAAAATATTTTTTATTAAATTTTATTTTTCAGTAAAATAATTATTTATTATTAAACTAATCTCATTTTTTCATATTTATTAAATAAGGTGTTTTACTTCAAAAAAAATATAAAGTGATTTGTTCAATAAGATACTCTTGAAAAAAAGGTAATAATTATTCTTTAAAAAATTAAAAATATTTTATATTTTTGAATATTCAATCCCCTTAAAAATATCTTATATTTTTTAAACGAAATGAGTATAGATAAACATAAATTTTAAACAGGCATATACGAACTCGTAGTCACATAAATACAATTCTGCCTTAAATTATTTTATTGCCGATACAATAAATTCCCCAACATTTACTAATTTAATAATTGTTTTCTGTGGCTTCGAAAAACATAATAATTGTTTTCTGTTGGTAAAAAAAAAAAAAAGTTTTCATAAACAACGTGACAACCTAAAAAACCCTTGTGCAATATGCAGTCTTTGTCAAAATGAGCTTACGTTTGAACGTTTCCAAGTGGCAAGGGTAAAAAAACACCCATAGAAAATGGCTCAAGTTGCCCCGTTCGGTTCCCAGTTATATCCATACATTCATGACCATATATTTCATTTTTTGGCCAATCATTCATGGCCATGTTTAAATCTTAATTATACTTACCTTCATTTATTAAAAGAGTTTTATTTTAATTAACATAATCACAATTTTAACACACATATATAATTTCCATTTTTCGATCAAGCCTTTCTGACAAGTGTTAAGATTTAATACCTTCCAGGCTACCACAATCAGTATATCTAAGATTTTTTTTAAAAAAATAAAATTTAAAATATTAAAATCGGCCTTCCTGAAATGCACGCATGTAACTTCATTTAATACAAAATCCTGCGTTTTCATCATCATTAAATTAATGTATCTTAATTTTGAATGGATTCTACATGGATGATGTGTGGGTGTGTAATGAATGCATGTATGGTAAGTATGGGCATTTGCGGAAATTGTTGAAAGAATGGGTCGATGGAAATTGGGTCTTTTACTTGTTATTGCCTTTCGCTACGTTCATCGTCAAATAGGGACGTCCTGAGGAAGGTCCAAAAAGGCAGTGCAGCTGCAACGGACGATCCGAAGAATACCCTTTTCCTTTTTCTCTCTGCCCTCGCTCTCTAGAATAATCATCGTCTTCTTCACTAAACTAGTACGATAAAAACTTTTCCTTTATTTTACTCATTCCTCATCAATTTGCACGCCTTTTTTTGCATTTTGTATTACATATTTTTATTCGGTTTCTAAAGTGTGCAGACGATCTTCAGGATCAGTTTGATCTCGCGTCACTGTAAATCTTTTAGATAAGACCAGGTATGTCTTCCTTTTCGAAATTTGGGTTTTGGGTATTTGTCTGCGTTTCTGTTTTGACCCTACTTACTGATTCACTTGACGATGATTTTCTGATCAATTTTATAGGAGTTTTCGCCCAAAAAAAAAAAAATTTTATTTCCTGCAAGTATCTCTTCGGTTATGGCTGTTGCTGAGAATGTTGGGGCCATAATCGGCTCTTCCGGTGACAATTTGGAAAACCGTGTAGTATCCTCTGACTCAACTGTACCTAATGAACTGGAGAAATCGAAGCTCAAACCTGGTTCCATGGGAAATGGTATAGAAACTAATGTTCAGCCCGTCAATGGTGATCAGAATCTGAACGCTGTCTTCAGCAACAAAGACATCGTTTCGACTACCATATCAGTCCCCAATAACAACTATAAGGCTCAGATGGCTCAGATTCGAAATGGATTTGAAGAAAATGGGGTCCAGACTCAACAGATGGTGATGAACAATGGTGGCTATGGCATTAACCAGATTTCTAATGGGGTGAGAAATGGTGAAGACGACAATGGTGAAAGTTTCAAGCGGGATATGAGGGATTTGGCAGAACTATTATCGAAGTTGAACCCTATGGCTGAAGAATTTGTGCCCCCATCGCTTACTAAGAATCATGGGATCTTAGGTGGTGGTGGAGGATTTGGCTACACTAACAATTTTCTATTACAGGCTAACTATGGCAATGCCAATGGTCAAATTAACAGAAGGGTATGAATATTTCTCATTTGTTTTAGTTTATTTTCATAGCCAAACGAAGCAAATTTCTATTCCTGAGAGATTTTACTTTTAAGGTTAAATTAAGGATAAGTGTTTTCTTGAATTTGTTGAGTACTGTTCACAGTACTGCCCTACTTTTTCCCACTTCCCAGCATCATGTTACTGGCATACACATTTCATTTTTGCCTGAAAGTATCACTTTACTTGATATAATTGTAACTTGTTGCAGAGGAAGAACGGCTATAATCAGGGCAAGCGAAGAGTGAATCATAAAATGGATGTGGAAAAAAGAGAAGAGATGATAAGAAGGACTGTTTATGTGTCTGATATTGATCAGCAGGTACAGATCATATCTGGCTTTTGAATTCTGATTCCAACTAGCTTGCTCTGTTTTCTCTGTGCACTCATTTTTAGGATCATTTTTCTCTGATGGCATCTAGGTTACTGAAGAGCAGCTGGCAGCTCTCTTTCTTAACTGTGGCCAGGTATAAATGCTTCTGTTTAGCTTACTGTGTGTTTTTCTTCTTTTAAAATAATTGGCAACATTACTGAATTGACTCCTTTTGTCTGGGACAAAGGTTGTTGATTGTCGAGTATGTGGGGATCCAAATTCCATTCTTCGTTTTGCCTTCATTGAGTTCACAGATGAAGGTAACATCCCCAATTTGGTCGCTACATATGATGTAGACTTAGAATTTCATTGTATGGTGTTGTGCCTGCAGAAGGTGCTAGGGCTGCTTTGAATCTATCTGGCACTATGCTTGGATATTATCCAGTGAGAGTGCTGCCTTCAAAAACTGCCATTGCACCAGTTAATCCAACATTTTTGCCCAGGGTAATGGTTTTATCATTTCTTAGCATGTGTACTTCTATTATTCTATAGCACTTTTCTGATAGTCACTTGGGAGTATGATTGACCGGTGTGGGCTAATGGAGTTTTCCCTGTCTTGGCTTTCTAATGTTGCTATATTTCTCAGTCTGAAGATGAACGGGAGATGTGTTCAAGAACCATTTATTGCACAAATATTGACAAAAAGGTAGTTTTGGGTTTAGTCTTGGGATAGAATTTTGCAAAGGACTACTACTGGATCCCTTGATTGGTTCTTTTTGCATCAAATTCTTGGTCCATGACTTGCTTTTTTCTCTTCATTGTCCTTGGTGCAGGTTGCTCAGGCAGATGTCAAACACTTCTTTGAATCTCTCTGCGGAGAGGTTTGTAGCTTCTCATGGAAACAAGATAGCTTCTTTGTTTTTTAACTGACTTTTTTTATGAGACCTTTTCTATGATTTTGTTTATCTAGGTCCATCGCTTGAGGCTTCTTGGTGATTATCATCATTCAACTCGAATTGCGTTTGTTGAGTTCATGATGGTAATTGCTCGCCAACTCATGATCTTTATTGTTCAGCTGAATCAACTATGGTGCACTGAAGTCCTGTTATAAGTCTCTCGCTTCATGGCATTCTTATCCAAAAACATCAGATTTTTGTTGTTCATAGCTGTTCTGGTTTATACTACTGATATCAGCTCCCCGTCAGCCTCCCCATTTGAAAACAGAATAGGAAAACTATTCTTCTCACTTGTTTAAATTAACATCTCAATGTTCGCTAGATTGTTTCTTTTATTGCATCTTGCTGGTATTTGTTTTGTTTCTTTTCTTCTTCTTCTTCTTGTTTTTTTTCTTTGGGTAGTATTTTGGTGCCTCATGGGAAATATTAACTCTTCATTGACTATGAAAGAAGCTTCATGACAGCCCTTCTCTTTCCTGAAGAAGAGAAAACAGCCCAAATAAATCCTCATAGCACGGCATCTCGATGGCACAAATTATTATACTATGGATCTCTATAGTTCATTTGATGATCCAGTTTGATACATCACAAATACTGATATAAAAGATAGGACCACCAAGGTAGAAGGGTTGGAAGTTTTAGATTGCATAGTTTTTTTCTGACATAACCCTTAATGTGAGGGATTGCCTTAGAAATGATGAAAGTTCTTGCACTTGAGGAAGTTAAGGGTTGATGCTGGCTTAGCATGAATCAGGTTGCATATCCTCCTGGGCCAGGTGGCAGGGTGAGAGCAAGTGCCCAGAAGAAATTGTTGGGGGATCATTAGAGTAGGAGGGGTTGGACAGTGTTAAGAGTTGTTTGGGAGATTTCCTTGCTACTCCAATTTTTAAGGTTGTTTCTGTGCATTTTATTCTGTTTTTTTGTGTTCTTTCCCTATGCACCGCATTTCTTGAGTTATATCTAAGTAATATAGTGTCTTTCTTGAATTCTTTTGGGTTCCAAACATCTAACCTGAGTTCCTTAGTTGTGTTGCAGCCAAATGCCGTCATGTTTATTTGCTTGCATGTAATTTTATTTTCTAGTCGAACTATTATGAACCATGTTGATCAAGGAATATCATTTGGTTATTGGAGCCAATCTGTGAGCCTGAGTTCTGATGATAAGTTTTTCCTACAAACTAAAAATTGTTTGTTTGTTTGTTTTTTCTAACCTGATAAATCGTTCATTTTGCATCTGATTTCATGGAGTTTGACTACATGGTGATCACTGTAACCTGGGCATTGTATGGGAATTTATTTTTTTGATTACCTTGTTAATTACTTGCCATAAGGAGCAGATGGGAGAGAAACGTTAATAATGTGGAATGTGCTGGACATAGTGCGGCAGGCACATAAGGTGTAATGAGAACAACTTGAGGAGGAAGGTTGAGGCAGTTGATGGATTTTGATCTGATAACAAACCATGCCCTTCTAACTTGGAATCCAAATAGATGAATTCAGTTGTTGATGCTTGATGATTAATTAGTGTTAATATATAGTGCGTTTTAGTATGATGCCTTGGCAATGCTTTGTCCATTTGCAAATTTCTAGTAAGGTGGAAGTTTATTTTTGGCATTGAAAGCACAGTGAAAATTGGGCTTCGTTGATAATGTACAAATTCGAATTAAAGAATCTAGTGGTGATAACTCTTGGTTCAATTGCGTTATTTTGTATCCTTTTATGATTAACTGTTCTTGGTTTCAGCTTAATTTGAATTGGGTCTTCTAAAAAAGCTTACTTGAGCTTAATTTGAACTTAATGTAGTTCTTTATTTTTTATTCTATTTGTAGGGATTGATTTTCATAGAACTGAGATTTGCAATTCAAATATGCTTTTCCCTCCTACCCTAATATCATCTATATAACCGTGCCTTGATGGGGCCGATACTTACTCATGTGCTTTGAGCATTAAGTCATGTGCTTTGAGCATTACTAGAGCTTGCCTTTACTTGCTTGTACATTTGGGTTGTTTCAGTTTAACACATTTTGTTACAACGTCTTTTTATCCCCGATTTTTTTTTTTTAATAAAATTCAATATAGCTGTCACACATTAAGGTGTTTCTTGCGTTACTTAGCTTCAAATTTGGGTTTCTCATATTTAGCGATGCATTTGAAACATTGGTTTAGTTATATGCCTGTGGTCCTGGACTGGTTAAAATAGTAACATGAAATTTAGTAGTGCAAGGAGAATTCAGTTGGTTAAAATATCTTGAAATTTTAAAACCATAATGCTTTTTATTTATTAATGTGTGCTTATGTCTAAATTCATAATTATCCTCTTGGTTAATTTTGGGTTACTATAGTTTTGATTTTCCCCTTTCCTTTGTAGTTGTCTCAAGTTCTTTGCCTCAATATTGCAGGCTGAAAGTGCAATTGCAGCTCTGAACTGTAGTGGTGTAATTTTGGGATCGTTGCCTATAAGGTCAGATTGACATATTTCTCTTTGATTTCAACTGTTGTATTATTTTTTATTAAAAAAGAAAGAGAGAAAGCATCTTTTATTTTATCTCTGCAATTTTTTTTTTTTCATGCAGGGTAAGTCCATCGAAGACACCTGTCCGGTCACGCACACCTCGTCCTCATATGCACTGAGTCATCCTTAATGCTGGGGTTGATTGCTGCTGAGAGAAGTATTTACATCTATATATACGTAGAAAGAGATATATCCTAAGGGACTGCTGGTGTTCTGTTGATACTTTTGTCCTTGGAGTCTTGCAGTAAGGTATCTACCGTACCTTCGTGGGGTTATGGGTTATTTGTTTAGCTTGTAGAGTTGGACAGCACTTCGAGAATCTAGATGGATTAAGTTATGATGCACAATGTATTGAGCAATGGTTGGATGTTTCTAGCATCTGAAATTTCTTGTAAGAAACTTGGTAGCTGTAACAAACCTTTGGTCCTCCTGAGCTAAACTTTGTGCACATCGTTGTCTAAAAGAATTGCGTGGACATTTCTTTTGCTCTTCTATGCCACATTTGAAGCAGTGGCTTGCTCCCTATTTGCCCATAGCATAGCTTAACCTTTGGTGACTTGTGGTAATGTGGTATTGGTAATGGCTGCTTGTGAAATCTAGTTTTAATCGATCTAGTCTGCACAAGGTAAATGATCTGATCCTGATCTCTGTTTATTCTTTTTAGATCGAGTCAGCCTTAAAAATTTGTCCTATTTTGTACGACCCTATCACCAAACCATCGTCCTCATAAAAAATTTCTTAGTACATATTATATAGTATCAGTTAGCTATTGATTGAGCTGATCAAAACGTGGATGAGTGAGTGTCTCAGATGGTGGGAGGGGTTCCCCTGTTTCCATCTATAGTTATTGCATTGCCTCTCAGAACTTGTTTGCTTCACTAATGCGTTGGTACTCGTGTAGTGAAACTGGTTTTACTTAAAATGAGGAAGCCACCTCATTTGGATTTTGAATGAATAACATGCTTGGTATATATGTATCAGATCTCTGAAACTTGTTTGGATTAGTAAGATGCTGAATGGGGAAGATTCCTGCGTTGCTAGTACTGGGGTGGTATTATGGATTAATAGCGAATCCAAACGAAACGTTTTGGCTTTGGCATGTGCATGTCTAAATCAGGGGGAAAAGTACAGTTCTGGTTCTAAAAACACGGTATTGACACTTGGGGAAGCTTCATTTAGATGCTAAGCAACACTTTGCTGTCCTCGAGTCAATCTTATCCGAAATTAAAAGGAAATTGAATTGAAAGTTGATGAATGATGATGAGTTGACCTGCCGAGCGATTGATAAATTAGAGGACGCCACGAAATTCTGAATTTCTGGCATCTTACTGAATGTTAGGTCCAAATAAACGCGGTATAGTGTCTTCGAAAATATTAGTTTTTTTCTTGAAAGAAGTAACCTTTAATTTAACGGTTGAAGTGAGTCTGTGACGCAGATTTTTTTTTTTCCTTTAAACTTGACTAATTTATGGACTAAAGTGTACATTTGTTAATCATAAATCCAAAGATAATATTAGTGGAGAATATTGAAATGATAAAAGGAAAGAAGTGTTAGGATTATTTTAATGAAGAGAGCGGCGTACAAAGTCAACAAATTAAAGTCAAGGTTATATGATAAGGGATAGCCTTTGGGATTGGGTTTAGGGTGTAGAAGTGGACTTCCAATTGGTATAATTGGTATAGCCGTTAATTTGAATATTGTTTCATTCGCGCATTTGAACTAAAATTTTATGCAAAAGCTATTGAATAATTTTAGTCAGCTTAATCAAGATTGATTAATGCAATTTAAATCTCTTAAATTCATACAAGATATTGGTATGATACGTTAAAAGAATTGACAAGGATAAAAATGTTATCATTATATTTTGAGAGAATTACATTTAACTCCCACATAAAAAAAGTAATTATTATAATATTTATTGACAACTGAATTAAAGAGATTTACAATACAATCAATTATCAATCTCTTTAATTCAATTATTACAGAACCTTATAATAATTAAATTTTTTTATTTGAGACTTTAATGTATTTCTACTTTGTATTTTGAAAAATGTGATATAAGAAATAACAGAGTGGGAGAGGTGGAGGAGTTTAATATTTGAAAATGGAAGGTGAGGAAGCGTGTAGAGAGGGGACAGGTAGGTAGCAGGTTATGATCATCTGCCTCTAACATTTGTCGCTGTGCTATTAATATTGTTGTTATTATTATTGTTATTAATATTAAAAAAAATCGTTGAAAAAGTGAGTGAGTAATGAATCCAAATCTGACGTGGTTGCAGTGCTGCGCTTCGCATTCAAGTATTTGTAGCATCGCTACTCAACAAAATTACAGATTGAATAATACGTAGAAAAGGATGGTAGAGAGAGGGTAATAACAAGTAAGTGCGTAATAATTGGGGTTAAGAGTATTATTAAGGTCTGGATTTATAATTATCAAGTTTATTGCATTCTCAACAAACCAAACTTAGTTTCTAATTGGACGGCCAAAACTTTATTAGGGGAGTTGTGTCAAGTGGATTGCAGTTTCAAACTACTTTACTAAAAAGAAGATTATTTTGGGATAATGGTTAATTTATTTGTCTGTGGCGTTATTTTGTTGCACTTCTTTCGTTTTAGTTCATATGACATTTTTAAAAGTGATTCCGTGTCTTAAAATCTAAAACAATTTAAGAAAAATAAAGTTTAATTAATTATACTTCTTTCAATATTTCTCTTCTTTTATTACTCTCTCTCTCTCTCTCTCTCTAATGGTTTACAAATAAGATTATATTCTTGGACAAGATAAATTCTTAAGTAGATTGAATGCGTCATATTATTTATAGTCTATTCAATAAAAATATGACATTTAGACAATATTAAATATAAATTAATTATGATATCAATGATAGTAGAGTCAGAAAAAAGATAAAAAATTAAATATAAATTTTGTTATGAGAATAAAATTAATTGAAATCATATCACATAAGATTTTATTTACATAAATTGGGATATTCTGATTGGACAGATAAAAAATAATGTAATATACCTAATCTATCTAAGAATTTTTCAAATAGAGATTATTTTTTAAAATTTATATTTGTGTTTTTTAAAAAATAAAATTGTAAAATATATTTAATTAGTTTATCAATATACATAATCTATTAACAAGTGTCTTATGAATTAAAAATGGATGGAGTATTTGCTTTTTTAAAATGGTCCAATTTTGGTGTTTACATGATTGCACAACAGTGTTGTTAGTAATGGGAATATGGGATTCTTGTTTCTTCATTGCCCAAAAAGGGTGTGGATTAGTTGAACTCGATATTGAGTTGACAAGTAGTTAGCACCATAATGAAAGTTGGTCTTACTTGAACAATCCCTTTCATGTAAACTTATTTGGTTGTTCAGCTATTTCAATGTCATCTTGTATCATGTACCCTTTCTAATTTAGTCTCTTTTACATGTCAACATTTTTCTTATCATTTCATCTTCCATCAATAAAAAGTAAAAACCACTAAACATGTCTTCTTCCATTTATTTTCCATGTTTAATTCGAGTTTTCCGGTTCTATTATAATCAATATATGATTCTTTGATAATGCCACCCTTGAATTTTCTCTCCTTCAATCTTGTATCAAATCTAAACTAATTACCTTGCAAACTTGTATTTCTTTATTTAAAAATTTTAAAATATCATTTCAAAAATCAAAACTGAGTTATAATAAATCTTTTTAGATAAAATTACAACATATATTAATGGTGTATTTGAATTAATAAGGATTTAGATTTGAACCAAATTCCTCATTTAGAAACACAAAAATTTATGAATTTAAATTTATTTTAAATTATTTTTTATAATTTTAAAATTTTTTTATATCCTAATCATTTAAATTTCTAATCACTTTAAGTATTTTATTCTCCTTGCATTTTTACTATTAATATATCTATTTATCTCTTATCGATTCAAAAATAAAAATAAGCTCATTATTTTTTATTTTTTATTTTCATTTTGAATCTTGGTTTATCTCTTTTTTGCATTTGAGAATTTTTTAATCTTCCAAACATATAATCTAAAATTTAAATCCAGATGCAAGCCCACCATTTCAAATGCTGCCTAACATTATCTAGATTCTTTAAACCTTCCGTAGCAATGTTTAAATTACATATAAATATGTAATGCACAAATCTTTAAAAAAAACATACAGATCTGGGATAAAATCAATATTATTTACACATATAAACTATAAGGTGCTAATCAAAATTTTTATAACCAAATTCGGGCAATATAGAGGCTTGTTTGAAACTTTTTTGAGAACTAATTTTCTGTAAAACATGCTATAAGGAAAAAAAACAATGAAAATATGTGTTTTCACACTCTCTTATTGTTATTTTTTAGAATAATGATCCTAAAATACCTAAAAGATTTTATTTTTTTTCTAGAATAATATTTTTTTGGTTTTACCAAATAGATTTTCTTTTTTTGGAGAATAGAAAGTTGTTCCTACAACCGGTTGCCAAACAAGCCACCATTTTATGCTGTTTTTTTTTTTTAAAAAAAATTGATCAAAGAAACGAAATTCTCTAGTATTCACTATTTCAACCATAATCTCTGAAATTTAAAATAGGATTCAAGAAATAAGTATCATACAGTCGTGTCGTATGTATTGTTCATTTTGTTTTTGGGCCTATGAATCGTTCAAATGTGAATTTCAACTGCCCATATTAGAATTTATTTTATTTTAACAGAACAAGAATGTACAATTAAGATAATTTTCAATAATTAGTTTATAAATACTGCGATTCTATAGGGGAAAAAAAACTAAAACTTTAAAATCAAACACAAGAAAATTGAGCTCTGATAAACCCATAGCAAAAATGGCCCAAACTGTTAATAGAAATATATTATTTTCAGTCCTGACGTAATTGTTGGATACAGAAAATTACTAAACTCAAAATTGGATCTAGAATAAGTAACCTATAAAATGCAAAACAGATATAGGAACCCAAAAAAAGGTAAAAGATGCAATATTTTTCGAACTGTAACGGTGTAACCTAACAGTAAGCTAATCCTATACGAGAAAATATAAAATTGAAGAATGATCCCTGCGAATCCAGATTCTTAAAACAAGAAAATATCAAGGCAATGGAGAGAAAAGATGAAAAAAAGCGCGTCTCAAGCTATATGATTTGATGGAACCTGTTCTCACTGGTCTAAGCTGAAGACTTGTGTTCAGGGGAGGCTCCTATTTTGGCGGCTGCTGCAGAACCAGAAACTGGTGCTGTGCCGGTGACTAATCCTGCATCATCATTTCATTCATGCAGATTAGGCAAAACATAATCATGACAACAAACAGAAGGGGACTTCATTAACCAGATACAGAACCAGAGGTGGGTATTGAAGGAGAAACTGAGATAGGTTCTGGTGGTGGCACTCCAACAACTGCCAACATTTCCTGGGGTGGCATATCAGAGTACTGTGTCTTTTTC